AGAAGAACCACGAGGAGGTAGGGTCCTGCCTCTTCCAGGACCACCACGGCCCTGACATAAAACTTGGCTTGCATGAACGTGCTCTTAATCCGAAAGGAAAGGTCTGCCCTTTCCACGGCAGCTTTCCTCTCCAGCATTTCTGGGGTTCAGGACGCTCTGCTCACAGGCGGCTGCTGCTCGCGGGGCTGCGCTGGCACTGGGAGTGCTGGGGAGGGGGGGAAGACGCTGCTGACTTCAGTGGATGAGAAAAGAAATTACCCAACAGATTTCCTGGGGAAAAGACTTGCGCCATCTTCCAGCGCTTTTTACAGCCATAGCTGGGGGGAAGCCCCGGCCGGGAGGGCTGTTCTCAGCCGCCGAGCTTGGCGCCTCCACGGTGTCTTTCAAAAGTCAGTACGCGTCTGACCTGGGTTGTGTTTTCAGGAGATGAGCTGCCTGAGAAAACAATCGACGGGAGATGTGAGTGTGGAGGTCAATGCCTGCCCTGGCCCAGATCTCAGGCAAATCTTGGAGGATTTGAGATGCCAGTATGAAACACTGATAGCGCGCAACCGCAAGGAAGTTGAGGATTGGTACGAGTGCAAGGTAAGAGACACACACCTGCTGCAAAAGAAACTAGTGCGCACATTCTAGGGCACAGGAGTATTTCACAAACCAGACATGGGGACCACAAGCAGTCCAGGACCAGTGCTCATTATTGCCCGTGTCCCGCAGAAGACACAGGCCTGTCCGACCAGTTTGCTACGCCCCAGCTGGGACAGCAGCATTTGCCACAAGGCCTTGTGGTGTGTTGCTGGAACCGAGACATTCCACATTTGGATTGAAGAGACTTAACAGCCACGAGGTTAATGTGATTTGTGCAAAGAGCAAGCAGCTGAAGCCTTTGATTAATGCCCGGTGCAGAGAACTCACCCTGCCCACTTTTCCTTGTGCTCCCCACTCACTGTGCTCTGCTTCTGTCAAAGCAAGTCTGATTTACAGAGACATTCTCTGAACACCTTTACTCTGGCTTGGTGGTTTCCAGATTGAGGAGGTGAATCGGGAGGTTATTACAAGCGGACAGGAGGTAGAGACGTGCAACAACCAGGTGACTGAACTGAAGCGCCAACTGCAAGCCCTGGAAATCGATCTCCAGGCTCAGCTCAGCCAGGTGGGTGGTGAGCTCGCTCACAGCTGGGGCGTGGTTACTGCTGGATTGCTCAGTGTGAACAGCATGATGCTGGTGAATAACGCTTTCGCTTTTGGAGTGGAAATAATAAACTCCAGGGTGATGCTGAAATGAACGTTGTTTCTTCATCTGGCTTGTTTATCAGAGAAATAATTTAGAATCTTCTCTGGCTGAGACTGAGTGCCAGTACAACACCCTCCTCGGTGAGCTACAGAACCAGATCACGTGCGTGGAGCAGCAATTGGCTGAAATAAGAGCGGAAATAGAGTGCCAGAACCAAGAATACAAGACCTTACTGGACGTCAAGTGCCGTTTGGAGCAGGAGATTCAGACCTACCGGTGCTTGTTGGAAGGAGGACAGCAGGACCTTATGTATGTAGATCTCTATATCCACTAGAAAATAAATAATAAGGATCTCTATTACAGAGAAACCAAATTTTTAACTGCTAGTTACAACATTGTAACTACTAGTATTACATCAGCATTTGTAACGGTCTTTCTTCTATAGTAAAACAGGCAGGCACTGTCAAAATAAGAATTAATTGTCATGTTCTGCACTGTGTTTCCCTGCCAAAAGCGAGCACAAACGCGCGGCACCTCTGACAGAAGAACGCAGTGTAAAATACTCTAACTCCGAGTTTTAGACTTTGTGTGCTGCAGTCAGTCAGCAGTGTCACGTAAGGTTCTAAAATTCCCTATTTCTCTCACTAAATTTGTCCCACCAGTCACGGAGGAGGAATCGGCGTAGGGACTGGAGGAGGAGTCATTAGGACAAGCCACACGTACACGACAACTTCAACTTCCCACTGCCAGCCCCAAGTCCCGCCCTGCAAGACTGGAGATATACAAGGTAAGAGCCACGTTTTCCCAAAAGGAAAACGGATTTTTTTTCAGTTTGTTGCTCAGTAATAAGGTCAAGAGACAACACGCTCTCCTAGGACATGTTAGTGGCACCTTCTCAGGGTTACTGTGCTGGCTCCAGCCGCAGCGCCGAGCTGGCTGTGTCACTAGAAACAGGTTCAAAGAGTGCTCTGACTGAACAGGGAGTAGCAGAGACAACAGGGAGACAAGAGAGAGGAGTGGAACTAAGAGGGGAAAGCCGAGGAAATGGGCCATGAGGGAAAGATCCGGAAGCGGAAGTGAAGAAGACAGCCAAAAAAGAGTCTGGAAGGAGTGACAGGAAGAGCAAATCTGTAACATTACAAGTACAAACTCCCATTAAACCCAGTGACTTAGGAGATTTCTGGGGCTTCCTGGGTTGTCTGCCAAGTGCTCTTGTTTAACAGAGGGTATTCTGGAAATAAGGGCACTGCAGAGAGCAGCTTTCGGTCATTTGAAGGACTTTATCTGTGTCCCAATCAAATAACGCTGCTCTGTTTTTTTTCTCCAGTGACCTGCAGGAGAATTTGTGATTAAGGAGGAACGAACTAGAAGGTGACATAGAGAGAAAGCCACAAACAAAACAAGAACACCCAGTGTTCACTGCGCGCCTCTACGCAGAGAAAGTAGAAGTAACTCAGCGATGCTTTGCCATGTATCTGGAGGGACCTCTTGGGGCCACCTTCCTCTCTGTTCTGCTCTTCTGATCTGTAATGCTGTAATCTCTAGAAGTTACTGGAGTTAGTCAGGATCACTAGTGTCCCTGCTGGTGCAAAAACCTCTCTAATAAAACTTTGCTTCTGCCTGATGCAATCAAGAAACCTGTGTCTGGAAAGTGAGTTCCTTTAGAAAATCAGGTGCTGATCCATGCCCAAGGGTCCCCCGAGCTGCTCAGGCTCCCCCTGCCCTGGGAGCAGAGCTGCGTCCCCAGCGGGAGCCAGAGAACAGCCTCGCCGACCCTGCGGGTCTCGTACAGCTCCCCCGCCGCACCCCGC